TGGGGAATTTTCCTTTATTTTGTTTCTCCGAAAAAAGGGAAACAAATCCATCCGCGGGATATTGATTGTAGGGACTTCACCCCCAAAAAGAAACACTCGGCTTTCCACCGCAGAAATTGGGAAGCAAACAGCCCCTTTGGAGGGAGCCCCGGCCCCTCGCGTGAAATTGGTTGCGCGCACGTCGGCCCACAGTAAAACCGATGAAATAATTTGCCGTGAGAAGAATAGTCTACGTTGTACGATAGAGACAGCGTGTGGATACGGTCCACAAGTTGAGGCATTTTCCTCAAGTGCGTGTAAAAAAGGTAGGAAGCCAATGAGAACTCTAGAGAGTCGCGCTTGAAGCTGAAGCATAACGCGCTCACATGCGCGCTTCGATATTATGCAAGTATTAATTCCTTCTCGTAAAAGGAAAGGCTGTGGTCCTAGTCTATGTTTATATATACCGTGGTTAGTTGGCAGCATTGAAGGTAAAATCCCTGCAATTCGTTTGGAAATAGACATTTTCTATTATAGTTTTGATCTGTAAGACCATCTCTTCACCTTCATAGATGTTTGAAAGATGTTTGAAAGAAGAAAGTCATATATGTTTTTGAAAGACCATCTCTTCACTTTCTATTATAGTTTTGATCGGCATAAACAAATTACGGCGTACTTAAAAAGCTCAAGAGCCCTGGTCTAATTCAAAAATCAGCCCTCAGGTTTATTCTACCGCTGTGTGAGTAAAATATATTCAGGGATGTGAATTCGGTCAACTTCATCATCACTACATACATCTTTCTCACTTATCTTTAAACTCTTGTTTGGTAAGACGAGAGTAGAGTGATGTAAGAATGGAGCAACGTGAGGAATAAATTAGAATTAATATGAAATTGGAATGCTCACTTCCATTCTTACGGGTGCTATTCAGAGAACAGGGTGGAAGGAACATATTTATTTAAAATGACACGGTGTTTAATAAAAGAGAATTGAAAGTTGAAAATTGTTGTTCCATTCTTACTCATTCACGTGTAGCAAATGAGCGTTTTTTTTTTTGAGAAAAAAAAAACAAGGGATATACCCTGTCATTTATATTAAACAAAAAGATATTTATAAAAGAAGGATACGAAATGTATCCATTAATTGGAAGATAGAAAAAGTAGTTTCTTAAGACTAGTGATATATGACTTTTTTCTTTCAAACATCTACGAAGGTGAAGAGAGGACCTTATCGTTATTCACCGTTGACGTAGATATAGGAAAGAACCAAAGGCAGCCATATATATAGTAAATAGAAACTAAACTTTTTATAATCCAATAAACAAAAATTGAAAGTCCATAGAGTATTTTTTATACATATAACAAAAAAAAATCTCATCCACATCACTTGCAGATAATCAAATGCTTCTTTGTATTTGTTCTTTCTCCAGCTTCACTCTAATCTTCTGTGCTGCCGATCCACTTCCGGTGTCTGCCCAATCATGTAGACCATATATTGCCAAGTTAATAATAGACTTAAAAGGGAAATGTGATTGATCAAAAATGCATTTGTTTCTCGATGTCCATAAGTTCCAACAAACAGATGCAAAAAAGTTTCGCCAAAGAAGCCCTTTTATGTCATGCCGACCTTCAAGACAAATCAATAATTCATCCAAAGCATTTGAACAAGTGAAAGGTAAGTAGTAGCTCTTGAAATGTTGTTAAACTCGCATAGTAATAGGACATGAAAAGAACAAAGGCTCTCTGGACTCCGGCTCTATCCCACAAAAAGAACAAGTAATATCCCCATTCTAGCGTTTTAATTGTAGAACCTCTTTTGTATTCAGTTTGTTTTTTGTAAGAAGCCAAAGAAATATACGAACTTTAGAGGGGACAATTGGATTCCAGATAACTTTGTATAAAGGATTTGTAACACCTCTCCAATTAAGAAAACTGTAAAAAGACTTGACTGAGAATAGTCTATTTGAAGTGAAGCAAATGAGCATCTAGTTTTTTATATTATTAATTATTTAACGGGCCATATATAAGATAAAAAAATTCTGCTCAGATAACAAAAAACACAAGGAGAAATAAGAATCTCTGATTTATGTAAAGAAAAGTAACACCAATGGATTTGAGCACTTTAGATGACTGTAGGTAGTTGAGGGAGATAAAGTCAGAGGCTCTGACACTGATGTAGCACAATAATGGCAAGAGACAACAATATCTTAGAAGCATAAGTATTTACAATTGAATTCTTTCTCTATGCACAAAATTCATGCTCAAGGAAGAAATCAAGTTGTATTTTGCTAATAAATTTTTGCAAGCCTCTTCATTCTAATAAGGAGTTCACATTGTTGACCGAAGATGCGGTCTCATGATCCCACGTGTCATTACTGATGTGGTCGGTTACGGTTGTGGGCTTCTCCAACCGTTCCTCGATACGCGGTTGGGTATTTTATTCAACAGAAAATTTTAAGGGGAAAATAATTATTTATGATCCAAAATTTAAATTGATGGATCGGAATAGACCCAAATCCGCTTTCTTTTTCTTTTTTTTTTCCATTCCTGTTTTCACTGCAGAGTATTTAACGGACTGGATCTAAATTATCATATTCCTCTTTACTGTCAAAATTTCGTGTATGCTATTCATCTTTTCCATCTGCATTCCGCATGCACCGTTTACATTCACGTGATTTATTTCAACACCAACAAAAATCATATCGATCTGAAAATTTAATAATAACTATATATGATCCTTTTGCAGAAAGAGACACAACTATATATCTAACTATCCAAATCATTACCGGATATTTCAATTTCGATGAGATCAGACCATTAGTGTCCCTGCCAGAGCCTTGTTTATTTACAACGACGACGCATCAGTCGCCATTTTGCTCCTAACATCACCTCCTAAATTAATGCCAACGTTTTAATAAATAAAATAACCCGCTAACAATTTAACCAAAACCAAGTAAAAATGTTTCCAAATCTATCAATTAGTGTTATTTATTTATTTTTTTTGGTCACCGATCTCCCCTCCCCTTCTCCCATTTATACGTCATCCCCAAATCCCAACCCCCCGCCCTTCTAGAAGACTAGACCCTCAAAAATTATATAAATACCCC